TTTGGACCCTTAGGGTAAGCACGGAAGTCTAAACTAGGCTGTTCCTGGAGGCCCGTGCAAAGGCGTAATCTTCAGTCCTTATCAAGGCTATACCAAGAAGGGACACCGTGCACATCCCGGACTAATACAAGGATCAGAATACGTACTTCGAAATAGGTTGCATCCCCTTGACATTCCTACAAAATTATGAAAAGTACCCCACCCCCAAAAAAGATAAACGAAACCCGAGTCATCTAAGCCCAAGTTTCTGAAACATCTACCCAGCAGCCCACTAGTACCCCAAACTCGTCATAAAACAAGGCTTCAGAAACCCTATGCACTCTCAACCGATGCAGGCCAAGCACTGAACGTCGACAGCAACTCATGGCGGCAGCGTAGTCCCGGGCCTTTGATTCGAAGTTAACCAGGAAGTAGCTACTCAAATAACGCATATTCTCCAGCAGTAGAAAACATTTCAGATTGTTTACACATGTATTCTGTCTTATGTCCTGCACAAAGCTTTAATTTAGACGGATCTTGATTTGGCTTGACTGGAAGAACAGTCTTCGAACCTCTGGCCTTGACCCTTTGGCCTGCTAAAGCGGCTATAGGGTTGGAAAACAACAAGTTTGGGCCAAGTTAAGGTTCAATGTTTCCAGACTGGAGTTCGATAAACAAAGAATATGACCCAGAAGAAACACAATAACATTAACAATAATACGAAGACGAGTACGAATAAGAACTAATAACGACAATAATCAGTTTAACAATGATAATATATAACAATAATGATGATAACAACAATAAGAAGAATTAATAATGCGAATAATAAAAATAATAACAATATGCATATTAACAAAATAGTAACAATAATAATGCCCAGAGGGTCCATGTAGCTAAATAGTATATACATTGGCCCTAAAGTACCTATATAGGGACTACATTAAGGCCAAAGTATATACTATTTGGGTACATGGACCCTTAGGGATAATCATCATCATCATGTGGCTGAGGAGCTCCCAGGCTGATAGCGTACGGAGTAGACATGGGGTTTTGGGGCCCTTCCGGGGGAAAGTGGTTGGATCAGACTTTTTCCGGAAACCCCAGTGCTTTACGCTTAACTATGGGCGGTAGGATGATGATGGCTCAACTTTTTCGCAGCTTCTGCGATCTAAGAGGTTTGAAAACACAGTTAGAACACTCCCTCCGCACAGTCCCTACCTACGTCTGGTAAGATATGCCCCGGAACCCCATGACTATTACCCGCATGTTGGGCATCCAGAGATTTGGACCTCGGGGTGTTGAGGCATTCGCCGAAAGGCCGCGGAATAAACAGCTGAGGGCAACATAGGAGCCTTAATAATTAGAATAGGGTTTTGGTGCCCACTATACTATAAATATAATAAGGACCCCCCCCAAAAAAAATAGTATGGGTAATTATGTAGGCCCCGGTAAGGAGGTGTTGTGAAGGTCAGACGCGTTTTGGGTTGACCGTTGCCCTGAACCCTACAGCATCCAATATAGCGGCCCTAATCGTAAGTAACTGTAGCATGTGCTGAGGGTATGTTTAACACGAGTATTTATATGTATAAATATTATATATATATATATATACACATATTCATTTATTTATTTATGGTATAGGGATTGCGCAGGGGTGAAATCTACCTCTATTCCACCCTAAATCGAATCCCTCAGCCCTACAAAAGTCGGTTCCGACCAGGGGCAGTCGGTGGAACCGCGTCTTCCTTCGAGCCGACGCTGGGTTGTGGCGCTCAGGCTTTAGTGGTTTAGGGGGTTTAGGGTTTAGGGGTTTAGGGTTTGGGGTTTAGGGTTGCGGGGCTCAGGCTTTGGAGGTTTCGGGGGTTAGGGGTTTAGGGCTTTAGGGTTTAGGGTTGTGGGGCTCAGGGTTAAGAGTTTTGAGGTTTGGGCTCTGGGGGGGGCAGGGTCTTGTGGTTCGGGGTGTTCAACATCAACCACGGTGCAGGGTTTGCATTAAATTACTAATTATCGCTTTACTATCGGTATAATGACAATGGTGTCTGCTCTTGCGCTGGTTACAACCAAGGGCGAGCATACTCATCTTTGTTTGCTATGCTTGCGTGTCACTGTAAGCATCTAACGAGAAAACCTGCATAATTGTGACTATCACGGTGATGACAGTAACATGTAGAGATTGACTTTATCGTCATTAGATTTGTACCACCAGTGTGGCCATCACCATGAAACTACTGGTACCCACGGGTCTTCTTTAGGACTTCAGTTCAGTACAACTTTAGGCCCTGACACAAAATCATACAACCAAGACACCACTGCACCAAAGACCTGAGCCTGATTTATGATTGCATTCGAGACGATACGAGCAAGCCACCAACCCCCCCCCCCCCACAACTGCCAAACATATACTCAAAATTCTACAGTAATCAGGCACTGTCCCCTAAATTCTAAATCCTAAACCCCTAAACCGTAAACCCTATAAACCCTAAACCCGTAGTAGCCCAAGTCAACCTGCTTAAACCCACTACTCCTACTACACTACAACCCTAAACTTCAAACTTTGCAGCCCTCAAACCGACAAAGTACAACCTGCAAAGCAGGCTCCTGCATGTCGTCCAGGGCTTGAAGTGCTTCTTTCCATTGCTCCCGCAGAACGAGGGCATTGAAAAACGATGTGTACCTTGCGGGCGCTGAGGCTCGCTGAAGGTTCAGAGACAAGTTTAGTGTAGTCTAGTACAGTATAATTAGTATAGTGTAGTATAGTCTAGGACAGTGTAGTACTATGGTACAGTACAGTATAGTGTGGTATAGTATAGTACACTGTACAAGTATAGCATAGTTATAACGTAGTCTAGATAGTCTAGCGTAGTATAGTACAGTATAGTAGCATTCAGTATAGCACAGCATAGCACAGCATGGTATAGTATAGTACAGTATAGTACAGCGCAGTATAGTCTAGAATAATATAGTAAACTCTAGTATAGTACACTATACTATGCAAAAGTATAGTACAGTATACTTTAGCATATAGTATACTATACTGTACTAGGGTTTTGTGCAGTATAGTACAGTGTGGGGCTCTGGTCTGGGAGTACTTGGCTTGGATGCAGGGCTTCGTCCAGGGAAGAGTGCAAGGCTCAGGGTTTGGGGTGTTGTGCCGGGTTGGGGTTGCGGGAATGGAGATCAGAGTCTAGGATACGGGGGATGCACGGTGCTCAACTTGGGGGTGTGCGGATGACTCTCTGATTTACGGTCTGTAGTGGAGCTGGAGACCACGATTCAGCTGAGGGGTGTTGCTTCTTCTGTGCTACAAACACCTGTTCATGTTGCAAGCGATGAAAGCCTAGCCAAACAACCTATTCAGCGCTGAATAACTACTAATACATACCTGCTGGGGGAGGTGGTCCTTCAACAACTATGAAGATCTAAGATCCTATAGTATACCCCTTCTTAGAGGTTCGTTGCTGCGGAGCCGGAGGCCTGAACCCCCAATCCCAAATCCCGAACTCCCAAAACCCTGCCCCTAAATCCTAAACCCTAAGCCCTGACCCTAGTACTCGAAACCATAAAACACCGAGGCCCCTGCAAGCCCTAAACCCTCTATAACCCTAAAACCGCAAACCCACCTCAACTCCTAAAGCCCCAAACCCCCAAAGACCCCTAAAGCCCAAAGCCTCAAGCAGTAAAACCAGGATCCCTGAAACCCTAGAGCTCCCAACCCAAATCCCCCCCCCCCACCCCCCCAACCCCCCCACCCACTCCCTGCAAACACCTTCAAGTCCCATAAATCCGTCAAAACACCTGAACCCCTAAAGACCCCCAAACCCCTAAACCAGAAAAGCCCTACATTTAGGGTTTAGGGTTTAGGGTTTAGGGTTTAGGTATGTAAGCTAAGCCGAGCTGCGTGATCTGGTCGGGGCGGACGCGCGGCGTCGACCGCATCTGGATGAGCAAATGCAGGGAGCGCTCCCACTGCTCCTGGAAGACACAGATTAGGAAACAGATGCAAGAGGTGTGATATAGAAGCCTGAATAACTATAATAATAGGGCTTGGGTACATTATGACTATAACAAGGAGCCACCAAAACGGTATTGGAAATTATTTAGGCCTCTAGATTGGACACCACGTGTGTGAATGTTTACAGCTGTGGGCTTCTGCTTCGGAACCTACAACGAGCTTGCTGCATCAGGCTTTAGAAGTTACTCCGTAGCCTGAAACTCGAACACGACTGTTCCTAGAGACCTGTGTGTCGGATCTTTAAGCCCAGCTTACCTTACATGCACAGCCCAGCTCGCCACACATTTAAACCCACTGGACCAGGAACCCTCAACCCCTAAACCCTAAACCCTTAACCCCAAGACGAACAGCTCTGGTTGGCTGGTTGGCTGGTTCGAACTGAATGCAGCCATGAAGAACACATGGCAAGGGGAGCCACCGAAAGAGCTTGCAATATAGTTTAAACCCTAAACTCTGGTTACGCTGGTTACCCGGGACCACAGAGTGGGAGAGGTGCTCCGGGTCAACACACGACAAAAACCCGGCAACCTACTGGCCGGAGCCACACAACTATGTGGCCCATAGCACAGCAGGATGGGCTTGATTTCCCATGTTCGCCAAGTTACTCCAAAAACCCTAAACACTCAACCCTAACCCCTAAGTGCAAAAAACCTAAACCCTGAACACTAACACCCTAGAGAACAAATCCTGAACACTAAGCACTAAAACCCTAAATACTACACCCTAAACACTAAGCCCGAAATACTAAACCCTAAACGCTAAGCCCTAAACTTTAACCCCACTTCCCTGAGGCTCGAAGGCTCCAGGCATACAAGAAGATCCTTAACATAGGAGCCTTAATAAGTAGACTAGGGTTTTGGGGTATGTTATACTATAACTATAAAAAGCACCACCCCAAAAAAAGTATTGGTAATTGTTTGGGCCTCTATGTTATATACTTTTGGAATCAGGAGTCTGCTGTGGACGCCTGATCCATAGCCCCCTAAGTAACGAGCATGACAGGAATCATCATATGAAAAGTTAAGACGCTTGAGAGAAGGGGTGCTGATCATCAGGTCTCTATACGAATAATATCCAGTTTGTGGTTCTCCCAAATGGCATACCCCCCCCCAAATCCTCAGTCTACATATTGAAGCCCATGCGTTGCTGATAGTACCTGCTTTCAAACTTTGGGCCATCTAGAGCCTGGGGAGCTGCTTGCAAGTCATGACTACCCTAAACGGTTTTAGATTTAGGGTTTTTCGGATTCAGGGTCTAGAGATTCTATAGGGTCTAGGGTTTAGAAGTTTAGGGTTTATAAGTTTAGGGTTTAGGGCTCAGGGTCTATAGATTCTATAGGGTCTAGGGTTTAGAAGTTTAGGGTTTAGGTCCCTAGACCCCAGGACCCTACCCAAGCACCATAAGCCCTATGTCCAAAAACGCGTATCCCAAACCCTTCGCTCGAAGGGTCTATCAAGACGGCCCACACATGCTGCAATTCGCGGAACAAGCTCCCCGAAGCCATAATACAAATGGCTTCGGGGAGCGTGAGTTCATAATAGTATAGTGTATGTGTACGTATAAAAACAGTTTCTATAATCATATGTACATATGCTAATACATGTATCATGTCTGGTATGGCCCTGCTGTTAGGATTTAGAGCCTCACGGCGAGGATTTGGGTCTCAACCCTCAAGATCAGCAGCACCGTCCTCTGCACATGCTTCGATGCATGTGTTGAAGGAAATTTGACCAGGAGGGACGGCGATGGCCTGCTAGATTTGCAGATACGGCGGCGTACTTACTTTGAACAGTATATAAGTCTATAGCGTTAAAACCATGAACACCATCAATGGTATCTCTGAATATCGGCACTCAGATCAACGTGTGACTGTCTCTGTAATTGACTGCCGTCGGTGCCCCCACGTTTGCACGCACCCATACGCATGCATGCTCGCAAGTCTCTCTTCAATGCACGCATCCCGGTTGCAATGCCTCTTCCCCAAACCCGAAACGGTGCTTCGTCATCCTTACAATTGTCTAAGCTGTGCCGGTCGTGGGGCTGAGGTCTGAGCGGGTATACCTGCTGCCAAGACTTGGAGTTTGCTAGTGCTGCGGCATTGCCGTGTCTTGAGCTGGGAAGGTTTGGGACATGTGGTTCTCGTCTCTTTCGGTTCCCTCCTGCTTGGCTGCTTGGCTAGGACCCCGAAACCCTGGACCCAAAACATCGAACTCCAAAGCTGAACATCAGAGCATGAAGTGCTATCGGTTTGTCCACCCCGGAGATCCTAAAATCTAGACCGACAGCCGGAAATCAAGCACTACTTTAGTGAAGGTGACGGTAAAAGTAATTGGCAGGTCTGTATTTCAAACGGATCAGGATCAGGAAAATTATGGTGGCATTCATTATTCCACACGAAGCAATGGCAGTCACTATTAACTACCGATGCTACTACCATTGCAATGAAAGTATGACTCTATTCAGCACTGATATCGTAGGTACCTAACACCGTGTCCATCATGCGTGCCTCTGTTGAAGTCTTGCTCTAACACCCACCATTCCGAGCAACCCTAAACCCTAAACCCTGAGTACTAAACCTTAAACCCTAATAGCATCCTGACAAATGAAGTAGTAAGCCTCCATGTTCGCCAGGAGCAGAAGTGCCGCTTCCCTCGTCCGCGAAAAGTCGGACGATTCCGGTTGGAAGATTAATACAGGGATGTTGATAGTTAGAGAAGAGTCCTCTAGGGTACTCTATATAAGGTTAAACTATAAAGGTCCCCCTTAAGGGCTCTATGAGCGGGCTTCTGGCCTCTGCGACCCAATCTAACTTACGGTCCAATATAATCAGCACTGCGTTGGAGGTCATGTTGCGAATATCAAGGGATATTCTTAACGATGAACCCACCACCAGTGTTACATTCGAACTTAGGACGTCGGGCTTCGGGATCAATGGATGACGGCCAAAGGTTGTGTACTTAGGGTTTTCCCCTTCGCAGTGCACATAATAAGGCAGGAATCACTAAACGGACATGGAACCACACCGTCACACCGCCGCCCCTGGCTCGTCCGAAACTGAAGTAAAGTTGCTCAGGCCTTTAGGGCGGAAGAGTTGGAAGACTCATCAAGTAGAGTTTGGGGTTTAGGGTTTAGGGGTTTGAGCTTTAGCATACGAAGCATATAGGGCATAAGGGTGCATTTGCCAGGGCTGAAACACATCGTGAGACACGGAAGAAGAGCTGGACGAGCGCTTTTTCGCCCTCCGAGTGCACACAAACCCTACATCTAGATCCTAAGCTCCAATGCCTACATCCGAATACCCTACAATGCAAATTGCAATGTGCTATGTCGGAAACCGTGACCCGTGCTTCTATAGGAATTCCGACTGCATTAAAACAAGGTTCCAATGCTCCCAAGCTCCGACAAGCAGTTACACCTTATATCTTAAGACCAGGATACATGTGAACTGATTGAAAATTCGGACGCCCAAGTTACAGGCGCTGTATACTCACGAAAACAGCTGGCAAGCCCTGAACATGGCATGCAAGCCCATCCTTCCCCCTAAACCCTCAACCCTAAACCCCAGCCCTTGATCCCAAATTCAGCTCTACACCCCGCACCGCAAGCTTCAAATCCCCGGTCCTGCATCTCATTAGGGTAAGTTAACCCTCAAACCCTACACCCCTTAACTCCTAAACCACTAAACACTGGACCCCTAAACCCCAAACCCTAAACCCCAACCCCTAAACCCTAAACCCTAACCCCAAACCCCAAACCCAAAACCCTAAACCCTAAACCCGGGGGGGGCACCATTGCGCCACTTCTGCCGCCGCATGCAGGGCAGCATCCACTGCCACGTCGTCGAGCCGAAGATGCCGATACTGCAGTTAAAGGAGGTTTAGGGTTTAGGGTTTATGGTTTAGGCTATAGGGTTCAGGGTTTAGGGTATAGGGTTTAGGGTTTACGGGGAAATTACAGGTGGGGAATTTAGGGTATATAGGGCTTCTATAAGGCTTCTATAAGGTATAAGGACCTTCTATAAGGCTCCTATAACGGTAACTACCGATGCAGGTCTCGAAGAGGCTGAGGTTTACGGTACGTATGTGGTATAGGGTATGGGGGTTTTGGGTATGGGGTTTAGGGCTTGTGGTTTAGGGTCTGGAGTTCAGGTTTTTAGGGATTGGGGCTTACTGTTTAGGGCTTAGAGTTTAGGGTTTGGGGTTTATGGTAAGATCTATAGGGTATGGGACTTTGAGGCTTGAGGCTGTTTGCTGAAGGTTGCCTACAACATTGAAGCTCTCTTGTAAAGCCCTAAGCTCAGGATTCTATAAACCCTTGAAGAGACGTAGCCGTGACCTTAAACCGCGCAACTCTCAAGCTCATTAAGCCTTACCCTACCTACTATATAGGGCCTTAGGGGCTCTAGTACCCTATGTAGTAGGTACCTGGGGGGGTTAGGTTAATTTTAAACCCGAAAACAACGACTGAACCTCTGAATTCGCAAGTTCCAACATCCTCAAAGGCCCAAGCCCTGAATCCCCAACACCCTAAACCCTCAAGCTCCAAAATTCCAACCAGCAAAAAAGCGTATGCGCCCGCCCTAAACCCTATCTTCGGGCCGTAAGAAGCTCTGGAGTATGTTGCTATGATTGTAATCAAACTGTAGGGAATCCTGAGTCGGGGCCCTGTATTGCCCTAAACCTAAGGGTCCATGTACGTAAATAGTATATACATTGGCCCTAAAGTACCTATACAGGCCAATGTATACACTATTTGGGTACATGGACCATGGACCCTAAACCCTAAATACCCTAAACCCTAAACCTTTAGGGAATATCCCACTATTTGGGCACATGGACCTTTAGGGTAAACCCGAAACCCTAAGAGCCTGTGCTTGGCTGAGCAACAGCATCGCCATCTCCCAGGCCTCTTCCCGGTCCTTGAATGACTTTTAGGGTTTAGGGTTAAGGGTTTAGGGTTTTTTGGACTCTTCCTTAGTGTTTGGACTTTTGGGTTTAGGGTTTAGGGTTTAGGATTCGAGAAAGGGGTGCTGAGGTCTGAAAAATTAGTCGTAATATCCCCATATGATTCATGTCTAATTCTACTACAATATACTTACAGGCCTCATCGACATTATTGAGGCGCCTTCTTTAGAGCTGTCAGCAAGCAATTTGGCTTTGACGATAAAGGACTCCTATCCACCATAGAGCTACATGGGACCTCAGGGTGCATAGGATAGCGATGACATGCTTGGGCCAGCTTCGCCTCTTTTAAAGTCGTAGTTCGCGCGATGGAAGCTGGGCTGGGGCACATCGGGGAAATTTCACAACGACGAATCCCTGGCAACTCGGAGTTGAGCACAGACCAGATCCCGACAAAACCCGCGTGCAACCGTGCATCCGCCCCCGGACATGAGACGGAACACCATGGAACAGCCGAGATGCGCAGCTACAGATCGCAGCGCCATACGTGATGATGTCCGGCGTCCTGGGTAGAGCGGGAAAGCGGCTGTTGATTGAGCACACCGTTCATGATTTAGAAGAGCGGCGAATCTCTCCTGCCAAAATGAGAGTTTTCACGCTTTACGGCTGGGTATAGTGCGAGTCAGACAGTGAGGATCTGGCGACACATTTAACAGTTGTATCTCACGGTGGCGACTCAACATTTGCCTTCTCTTCGCTGCCTGTTGAAACTGGAACTTATCTAAATGCAGACGTAGGAATACAATAGCCGCAGCTGCAGCAATTCTGCTCTACCTTCCTTTGGCTAACTCTTCACTCGCGTGTTCTCCTAAACTCCAAACCCTAGAAACCCTAAACCCTAGACCCTACACCTTAAACCCTAAACCCCTAAACCCTATAACCCCTAAACCCTATAACCCCTAACCCCAGTCTTCCTTGTAACTTGCTTGCTGCTGCTCCCCCTAAACCCTAAACCCTAAACCCTAAACCCTTCTTCTTCAGGCTGTTCCTCCTGGCCATCCACAATGGAAGCCCTGACTGAGCGCGGGACGTCCGAAGGCAAAACCCTAAGCCCTAAACTCCTAAACCCTAATTAGGGTTTAGGGTTTAGGGTTTAGGGTTTAGGTTCCCCTGTATTGCCCTAACCCAGAGGGTCCATGTACCTAAATAGTATATACATTGGCCCTGAAGTACCTATATAGGGACTACATTAAGGCCAATGTATACACTATTTGGGTACATGGACCCTTAGGGTAAATCATAGCCTAAGTCCTAAAACCCTAAACCCCAAAACCTTCAGCCGAGAGTCAGTACCTTGTCCTCCATGTCCCCAAGCAAGAACAAGGCATTCTGCCACTGACCGTCCCACCTCGACTCCGGATTCCGGCTCTAAGGTTTACAAATATAGGGTTTAGGGGTTTAGGGTTTGGGTTTAGGGTTTAGGGTTTAGGGTTTAGGGTTTAGGGTTTAGGGTTTAGGGTTTAGGGTATAAGGTTTAAGGTTTACAAATAGGGTTCAGGGTGATCATCCCCGCAGCTAGGAAAGGCTGGAGCGCCGAAAGCCTTTCCCACAACAGTCGAGTGAAATCCTTGCACTGTGGGAAAGCTTGAAACGATGTTCTACGGTGTTTTAGCGTTTTAGCTGGTTTGACGAAATGATCCCTTTGGTTCGGACGTGGTGGGTTTTCCAGTACCGCAGGAATCACCAGACCTTGAAAGGAAGTCTTGTATGAGCCACATCCAAGCCACACGCCCTTCTCATTGATTCGCCAACCTCATACGAGCCCAGGAACCCCACAAGCCCAACGAACACATAAACCCCGACCCAAACCTTCAAACCATAAACCCTAAACCCTAAACCCCTAGACGCTGAATTCGGAAAGGGCGCCCGCAAGCCCGGATCGCGGCATTGAAGCTGTTCTTCGTCGGGTGCAGTCCATAGTCGGGCAAAGACCCAAGGATTCGAAGTGCTTGCCTTTTTAGGGCTGAGGTTTTAGGGTTTACCTAGCCCCCCCCAGGTACCTACTATATAGGGTACTAGAGCCCCTAAGGCCCTATATAGTAGGTACCTGGAGGTTTAAGGGTTTAGGCTTTGGGTTTTACTATTTAGGGTTTGGGCTTAAGGGTTGGTGGCAAACGTGTCGACTGTACCTAGACAACCACAAAGCCGCGACCAGGCTACTCCCACTGCCCGCACTTCTCACAGGCACTGATGGCGCCGTTGAAGCAAATAACCTCGGCTGATACCAGAGAACTAGAAGAGGGATATATGAAAGTAACATCGAACCGGTTCGGCGCAGTCCACATCTCTCTTGCAAATACCCGCTTTCGGTTACCTAAGACTCCAAGCATACAAATTACAACCTACTTTGGGGTCTAAAGTCTGTAAATACTACCTGCTTTGGAGTCTTAGAGCTATATATCCGGAGGTGGAGAAGGAAGGGGGTCTCCTGTTTCTACAATCTGGAAGCTGGTTTAGTGCTCAGGGTTTAGGGCTAGGGTTGCGGGACGTTGAGGGTGCACGGAGACTGCGGGCTTTAGCTTGCAGGGCTTATATGCCGCTAGAAGCAGGAAAAACGGTGGGCTCAGGGCGGAGCTCAAGCTTCCCCCATGATTTTGCCACATACCGGTGCGGCAGAAGGGAATCTGAACCTAATGACGTGACGTCCATAGTCCAACATCTCCATGCCACACCCAGCGGGCCCTTGCTGTCATGCACCCGGATGCTTAGGATGTGACTTCGCGTCTTAACATGGTAAGCTTGTGCTTCCGCAATCCCAGCCTCCATTCGTACAAACGGCAATTTCAAACATAGATGTGCTACGAAGCGAGGCTGTCAACAACATCAACGGTGAGCACAGAAACGTTCTGGAACAATGCGGGCCTGGGCATTCCGGCTGCGGTTTCAGCAAATCATCCACAGAAGCTCAACTCTTCGCTGTCATCCGAGACTCCAATACCCCTTAATTAAGGAATTATGCCTTAAATCATATTAGGGATCCTACTATAGTTTTAGGTGTATCCCTTAATTAATTAAGGGGTATTGGAGTCTCTGGGTCATCCCGGCTCATTTGAGTCATCTGAGCCTCTCTAAACCATCGCAAGGCTACAACCAATAGATCCGACGGCAGACGTCCAAACCTAAACCCTAAACCCCAAACCCTACACCCTATAAACCGTATAAACCCTAAACCCTAAACCCCTAAACCCCTAAACCCTAAACCCTAAACAGACTTCCTCAAAGACACCCTAAACCACTGAAGCCTGAACCCTGAACCCCAGACCGGAACTCCCGACTTCCTCC